AAAAAAGATATACTCATCCGATCCTCAGTCCTGCCTGATTGCTAGACTAGTCCCCACAGTCTCTTCCTCCCCAGGCTCCGGCGGTCTAAGGATCTGTGACATCACATTCACTTACTCTGTGTCCTCACATCCAATGTAAGTATCAGGTTAGTGTATCTTCTTTATTTTAGACCCTAGACCAGACCACACTTAACCCTTGCTGTACGGGGGTATCCCCACTGCATATAAATGTATATTTTATTAGAAAATCTAGCTGGGGAAAGCAGCTATAAGAGATTTACAGTGATATTAAATGTAAAAGGCTTTTAAGATATTTCAAATACTGAATAAATCACTTACGAAGGATGCTGCTCCTTGATGTTTCAAAGTTTTAGTTTCCTGGAGAATCAGCTGGTTCCCTGAGCACTGGCCCTAATATCCTGTTTTAGAGTGACTCCTCTCTCAAGCTGAGTGCTATGCAGTCACCCTTGTGTGTGCTAGTAAGTGGTGTGTGTCTCCACAAACACACAGACACAGCAAAACAAGCTACTTCCCTCCTTTCTCCAAGCTAGTAGATGAACACTCTGAACACTGGCCCTGATATCATGTTTTAAGGTGGCTCCTTTCCCTTGCAGGATACTATAGAGTCACCTGTGTTTGTGCTAGTAAGCTGTGTGTCTCCACAAACACCCAGGCACAGCAAGGCAAGACACTTCTCATCTACCTGCTCCCCACTCTTACTGCCTCCTTCCTCACAATTCACTTCTCCCTTCTACAAAGTAGAAGATGGATGGCTGCAGGAGACTGCTTTGACCTTTGTGATCTTGTACTGGACAGGAAGTTCAGGGAAGTCGAGCTGAGAAAGTTGTTGCAAGCTGATGACTGCTTAGACAAACATTTAAAGAAATATTTTGCTGGACAATGTAATGTTTGATCTGGATTCATTACTGGGGAAGAAAAAAAAATCAGTTTAATACTACTTGAAGTGTTTTGCTGCCGAATGACTTGTACTTCTGTAGAGACAATCTTGTTAGTCACATACATCGTCCACCCTGCAAAACCACACAGGTGACTGTAATTCATCATCCTAGTCACCTGTCCATCTTCAGCCTCCTTACAGGTCCTTGAGTCATCAACTCTATCCAGTCAGCTGGGAGCTGACCCAGGAATTAGGAATGGCAAACTAGGGCAGAGTGATCTGACAGTGGTGTGTATTTTACAAGACTGTCAATGTGCAAAATTACAAAACCTGTAGTAGCTAAAACAGTAAATGTATACATATTTTACATGCGGTTTAGCTGTTTGCCTAGAGTCCCACTTTAAAGCATACTTGTGATTGTCCATTCAGAGTTCCCCTACAGCTTTTCTCAATGTCAGGAGCTGAAAGATATACCCGATTCTTTAGGGTATGGAGGAACTGGGCCAATCAGTGCTGTCACAGGGAGTCTATAGTAGAGTTGCCACCTGCCCAGGATTCAATCTTAGTCTATAGTCCCGTGTAATCTACAACTCGGGCCATAACAGGGTTTACACGGAGCTTTCCTTTCACTCCCTGAGCACCAAGGTAAACAAATGAAAGGAATGTATACATGTCTGTGGAAGTCTGCATGTAGATGAACCTGTTGCTTTGCTCTGCAAGGGCAAAGCACAGATTGCCTTTAAAGTCTATCTTTAGCCAAAACTTTTTTTTCTAGTTTTAGATGGAGTGGAAAGGGTTGGAAACCCCCTATCAGGTTTTACTGCTATCCTGGGCTCTGAGATTTTCATTCACTTCCTATTCTGTAGACTAGGTGTTACCAGACAGAAAGTGACGGGAAATCTGCAACAGGTAGAAATACAACAAGCTGACAGAGGTTCTAGTATTACCCTACTTCACCCTTATCTTTAAAATGACAACAAAGACACCTTTAGAAATGTTTAGTAATGACAATCATCACCCGTATCTTTAAAATGACAACAAAGACACCTTTAGAAATGTTTAGTAATGACAATCTACAAACACATGCGTATAGATAATTGCCGGGTTTGTATTATTTGCATACCTTATTTCTCTTTTCCTCCATATTCTTCTAAATGTGGCCATTTTTACTAAGGACAGATGTATCCATCTCCCTCTACTTCCTAGAGCTATGGAACATGTGACTAGGACATGTGACTATGCACATCATCTCGGGGAAAAAAAGGGAGAAAAATGCCTTTCCCTGAGATCTCGTGAGACTTTGCAGTTTACAGATGAGATTTCCCAGCAATACACATTGATGTAAGACTCCCAGGATGCATCCCTGGGGCATGGGCTACATCACTAATGCCTAAGTGTACCAGGAAGGGGAAAAACAATCATTGTACGTGTAGTGCCCCCCTGACCCCCAAAGAGCAGAGAGGGCTGACATTTCATTCTCAGGGGCGGATCCCAGGCCAGTGAAGGGATGTGCAATCAAAGAACGGTTGGGCGCCAGTCACTTTAAATGGCGTTTTGAATGCTTTATTGGAGGACTTCATAACTGGGAGAAAAGGTATAGGGCTTAGGACATCCCTGGCAAAAACAGAATAGAACAAAATTCCAGACTCACCAGTCCCTTTCAGTATTCCATAGTGCAGAATCAATAGGAGCACAGACACTGGGTATTAGAGCTGAATAGCGATAGGCACAAAATCTTTCATGGGAGAAAGACCAGACTTGCTCCTAAGGTCCATTCCAGTACCCGGCACCTCCAGCAACCATCCAGCTTTTCAGTTCTCTTCCTCCATCAGTATTAGGCCTCCCCCAGGCTTGAGGCCTAGTCAGACATTTTCCCGAACTTAAAGTGACTTTAAACCCTCAGATTTTTTAACATAACACTATACTGTAATGTGTGCCTTACTGTAATCTATGGTTGTTTCCCTTTTCTTTGCTGCTCTTCTTTTTAAATCTGTATCTGTTCTCATGCTCTGCAGAACTTCTGTTGTGCAGCAGACTGCCTTGTCTCAGGAATGGATACACGGTGTCTGTGTATAAGGTTGTATAGGCTTGAAACCTGAGCCAGCACTACAGGAAGAGGCCCTGAGCTGAAAAGGGAAGTTCTCCCCAAGCATGAGAAGACATGAGGATTTAAAAGGAAGAGCAGCAAAGAGAAGGGAAACAACCATGGATTACAGTAAGGCACACATTACAGTATTGTTTTATGTTAAAAAATCTGAGGGTTTAATGTCACTTTAAGCAATCCCACCCCCCAGGCCAAGCCTGGGGCAGGCTGGAACTTGACTGAGCACATTGCAATTCCCCTGAGTATATATGCACTCCCCCAGCATGCATCACTGGCCATGAAACCCCCAGTGATTGGCTGGTGAGCCACACATGCACTCATAATGTTCCCCAATTGGCTGTCCCACACTGCAGCAAGATCACACCCCACTCAAGCAGGTACAATCAATTCCAAAATTTCTGGAATTAACCAGATAAATACCAAATATTCAGCCATACTGACTACAGCTCTGGCAACACTAAATTTCTAGCAGCCATGCCACAAAGGTGTTAGGGGCTACATAGGAAATAATCTTACATTTTTATTTTACTTATCAGCATGCAGAGCTGCATCAAGATGTGATTTTTTAGTGAAAGGAGATAAAGGTCCACTTTAACATAAAAAAAAGGGTTTTTACTTTGCTTTGTGTTGTTGGAGAGTTTCCCTCACTTCCTGTGTACTCAACTACAGTACTTATGTCTACTGCAAAGCATAAAAGGGAGTAAGAAGTTGAACAAAAGCTGCTGAGTTTATTCCACATTATTGTAGTAATGAAACTGTGTTACCTTTACCCACATGTCTTTGTCAGACACTCTTGTGTTAATCTGAACAAGTCAGCTATTCAGTGCCGCTTACATTGTCTTTTAACTTTGAATTCTGCTGACTGTACGGATTTTTATTAAAAGCCAGCGCCTCTGCTATAAAACATGCTACATTGTGCAGGAGTGAAAGCTGAATTAAAGAGCATACTGTCTGTCTGCTAGGTATGTAGAAAGGTTACTGGTTTTTGTAATATATTATCTAACAAAAACATGTTCGTTGCTGATAAGAGAACATAGGTACAGTTGGAGGGACATTGCCTTGAAGTGTTATTTAATCCTCCCTGGAGAAATAGATATGTAGCACCATACCTTAATGTGACACTAAACTCAGGAGTTAAACTTTAAACATGCATTCAAGTACCTTAACTATTAACATTACTTTATCTTATTTGTGTATCACTCGGCTGTAGATCCTCAAATTATCTATGAATTTGCTCTGACACTGTCCTTCCTTCTGGAGGGTGGCTACTTTTGTTCCCCATGGTCCCTGTGTGTGTGTTGTAAAGTTGCCATCACTCCAAGCTCACTAATGTGATGGACTACAATCTCAATACAAATCAGTAAATTAAATGTGAGATTGTAGTCCATCACAGGAGCGATCATGGGGCGGTGGCTACTTCACAACACACACATGGACTACTGGGAACAAAAGTAGCCACCCTCTAGACGGAAGGACAATGTCAGCACCAATTTAGAGATGATTTGAGGATCTACAGCTGAGTGATGGACAAATAAGTTACACTTTTGTTAATAGTTGCGGTACTTGAATGCATTTTTAAAATTTAACTCCTGAGTTTAGCATCACTTTAAAGCAAACCCGAGCAAAAGGAAGGTAAGTATATATGTTTGTGAAGGTCTGCTTCAAAGTGAACCTGTTGGTTTGCATATCATGGGTATAGCACAGTTCCACTTTAAAATATCAATTCTGCCACAGAGGTGGAGTTTAAAAAAAAATCTATTTTGGAGCAGATACTTCAGTAAATTGTGTGTGCTTACAGTGTTCTCTTCCTACAGTGAGTTATGCTACTGCGTGTCTTTGATAAACAACTGCACAGGAGCCCTCTTGTATCCACGTGCCCATGTGTGTGAATGGAATGCTGTGCAGGTCATTTCCTATTGGCTGTCTGTATTTTTCCAGATGTTCAGCTCCAGCATAAATGTACTGCAAATGATTAAAAGTGAAGAGGAACACAGTATACACAGTATACTCTTCGAAGACACTGACCGAGCTCTTGGGAGGAAGCTCTAAGAGAAATGGCTAAGACTATTTATGTTGTGGTCATGGTCCTATGCCTGGGATTTATGCATCAAAAGGCAACCGGTGCTTATATGCAGAAGCTGGCAGAGAAGAAGCTCTGCGCTGATGATGAATGTATTTGTAAGTTTGCCAAAAATGCAAATCCTGTTGTATTTATCTTCTTTATGTCTTCTAATTTATTTTTTTCTTCTAAATTTAATTCTACTGAGTTGCAGAATTCTTTTTGTTTATTATTGATTTTTGTAGTTTCTATCAGTGGTTCTCAGCACAAGTTAGTGTACCCTCAGGGTACTTCTCAGATACAAAGGGTACTCATGTTTGGAAGATCAGATTATGTGCAAGTCTGAAGCTTAGGAAATACTAAATATTATACATAACAAACTGGACTTACTAAGCGTTGAATATTAATACCAAATCAAGGCTTCATATTATTTCCTCAATTTATAACACCTGTTATTGTTAGTAAATGTGATTGTCATGTATGTTTTTGCGTTATAATAAAAAATAATAAAACTATAATTATACAGGCAGCCCCCAGGTTATGAACAAGATAGGGTCTGTAGGTTTGTTCTTAAGTTGAATTTGTATGCAAGTTGGAACAGGTAAAAATTTTTAAGTGTAACTCCAGCCAAAAAAATAGTTTTCAGTTTTGGATAGCATAGGGAAGGGTTAACCCCCTGTAACGTTTGTTTTGTGTGTGTGCCCCGTTCAGAAGATTTCACCTCACTTTCTGTCCTGTGACAATTGTATTTTGAAAATTTTGGGTTGTTGTGAAAACAAGGTTTGGTGCTAGGCGTATCGAATATACGCGTTTGTCGCACGTTTCGTGACGCGCGTTTTTGCCGCAATTTGCGGTAAAAAACGCATGACAAACGCGCGTTTCTGTGGGCTACTTGGCGGTATCCCAATGGAAACGCGCAACAAAAACGCCCCAAAGAAGCTCTTGTACTTCTTTGGGCGTAGGGCGTTTTGTAGCGCTTTCATATGGCCTGTAATACGCCCAGGTGTGAACCATACCCATAGGAAATAATGGGATTTCGGTGTTTGAGCGTTTTGCAGAGCGTTCGAACGCGCTACAAAACGCCCAGGTGTGAACCAGGCCTCACAGGAGTGAATTTCCCTTCCTTGGGGTAGATTTCCTCTCACTTTCTGTTGTCTTAAGGACAGGAAGTGAGATTCATTCTTCCTAATGAGGATACAGAAAGCAGTAAAAACCTAACAGTGACCCGGAAGGAGAGGTGGGCACCCCTCGTCTGCACGTCTAACAAGAGCCAACATCCTGTAATGTACGTACGGTACTACGAACCAGACCCAGAAAGGTGGGCACTCCTCGTCCGCACGAGCCCAGCAGCATTACAACAACTGAAATGCTGCGTGGTACACTTTGGCTGCAGTGTGTGTGTGTCTGTCTGTCTAAGATTACCTGTACCCCTATATAACTTGTTCGCTGAGAAAAGTATCTAAATGGTTCTTGAATGATTCCATACTCTCAGCTGATACCACTGTCTGTGGAAGGGAGTTCCACAATTTTACAGCTCTCACAGTAAAGAATCCTTTTCACTGTTTAAGATTAAACAGTTTCAGGTGGTGGACTAAAGCGACAGTCCACTAGGACCCCAAAAATCTTTTTCCACCTCTTATACCCCCAGTGGGAGGGCCGTCACTGAGCAGCTCGCTTTTGTATTTTTAACCCCAAAATGCATAACCTTACACTTCTCAATATTAAACATCATCTGCCATGTAGCTGCCCACCCCCCTATTTTATCCAGATCTTCCTGTAATATTTCTATGTCTTCTGTAGAGTTTATTACCCTACAAATGTTGGTATCATCAGAAAAAACTGAAATATTGTTATTATATCAGTCCCGATATCATTAGCAAACAGGTTTAACAGCAATGCCGCCAAGACAGAACCCTGGGGCACACCACTGCCAACCAAGGACCACTTTGGAAATGAGCCATTTATTGATACTTTATGGACACGTTCACATAGCCAGCTATCTATCCAAGCACACACCATTTCATCAATGCCCAAAGATTGTAGCTTGTAAATTAAATGTTTATGAGGTACCGCATCAAATGCTTTTGCAAAATCAAGGTATACCACATCCACTGGCTTTCCTCTGTCTAGGTTACCGCTCACTTCTTCATAGAACACTAATACGGTAGGTTGGTTTAACAAGAACGTTCTTTTCTTAAGCCGTGTTGGTTGTCACTTATGATATCATGGCCATCAGCATATTCATAAATATGGTCCTTTATCATCCCCTCAAATAACTTGCATACATGGATGTTAATCCTGTTTGTACTGGAACACGCTGAGTATTTTGTCCTGCTGTTCACCCCTCAGATGCTATATCACTTGGTAAAGCTGAAGATGATTACTATGCTCCAGACTGCAGATTCATCAACATCAAGAGAGGAGAGCTGGTCTTCATCTACACCAAGCTAATAAAGGAAGTTGAGGACGCGGGTGAATTTTGGTCTGGAAGTGTAAGATTCTATATTATCATTGATGGCCAGTGCCTTGTTATTTTAAACTTCCTTGGTACAGGTTTGATATATACTGTAGCAGTCCATGTTTTTATCTGCTGGGGTATAAATTATTGTCCCAGGATTAGTCACTTACTTTGTTTTCAGAATTGCTGAACATAAGAAAAAAACCCTAATTTTTTCATAATAAACTTGTACTATCTATTATTTTATTGTGCTAAGGTGAATCTATTATACATACATTTACATATAGATTGTGTTGCCTCTCATCACGTCCTGTCTCAGTGACCATTGTCACATGAAAAGGAAGTAAGAGAAATCCTTCCTGATAGACACACATAGACATACAGGGTCATTCACTAAAGGGTGAAGGGTTTGGAGAAAGCAGGAGAAGTGAACAATCTAAGACAACATAACTGGTTTGGAAAAATTCTCTAAGTCAGCTCACTTTCCAGTTCACCTATGTTGTCCTAGATTGTTCACTTCTCCTGCCTTCTCCAAACTCTTCACCCTTTAGTGAATAAGCCTGTTAATGTTTAGCACTGGCTAGGTAACCACATGGACTTCGTTTAAAATAAACTCCAGGCAGATAATAAAAAATGTAGATTGTTTTATATTTTCCCATTTTGTAAGGAAGGGGTGGGGGCACACTGTAAGCCTGTTGTAAGCATGCCAGGATGTTCTGCAGTGTGCAGTGATATCAGCCTCCCTGCCTGAACATGGGTAAAGCAAACCTTTCCTAAGAGTTATGTGTAGGCTGCCATTGATAATACCCTTCTAGTACACAGACCAATGGTTTAGTAAGGTTTGAGCTGAAGTGAGCACACGGATGACCTCATCAATATGCTGCTGTTAGTTCATTGTCCAGTCATAAACTGGGATTGGTCTTTGATTAGGTTGTATTCTTTATCTGTCTCCAGGGAGGTCTAGGACCTGGTTTTGCTGTGTGGCAGAGGTGCTTGTAAATACAATACTGAGCATTTACAGTTGCCTGTAGTTCAGTTTGAAGGCTGCTGCAGGTCATTGAGATGCTTTATTTGCTTAATTTGATAAATGTCCCCCATAGTATGTCTCTTCTGCAATAGAAAACAACTCCCTTCTCGCAAATGTTCAAGTGTATTCTAAAGTACACTTCAATAATGGGTTAGGACAGGGCTCTGTGTTCTTACATGAAGAGTTATTGGATTTCATTTCCACTCAGACTTGTTCTGTATGTAGTTTGTACTTTCTGTGATGGCCTCTCATGAACCAAATTAATATTATTGGCTCGGATGACTTCTGCTTAAAAGGCATATGCACCAAGATGGTTCATAGCGAAATATGGCCATCCTAGCACAGCCCCTTTTTTTCAATATAGGTTTCCATCCTGCAGGACCACCCCAGTATTTGAACAGAATTCCACTGTCCCATAGATCTAGGACATAACCCACCATAGAAGTGATTGGGTTGCTACCAGCCCAATCTGTTCATTGTAGAAGTGAATGAGTGGCTGCTTTCCAAGCTGTCAACCATAGAAGTGAATGGGTGGCTGAATGGGCAAGCTGTCCAAGGGTGCTTGCACTTGTAGGACCAACCACCGATGTCAGATTTGTTTAAAGTTTGTTATAAAGTTGGGAGGTATAAATCCCCCCTCCTGGATGTTACAGAGCTGCAGAGCCCCATGCAAGCCAAGTAGCATAGATTTTTTACAGTTTTTATTTTATTTGGGTTCACCTGCAGCAAACAGCAGGAAGTACAGTCACAACACAAGTAAAGCACAAATCAAAGTTCAGAGCCTGCAAATTGACTGATGCTTATAGGCTATAAATATGATTTATCTAAATTTCTTTGTGTCCAGGCCTTCACAAACAAGTTCATATAACTTTTATTTAAGTAGTAATTTCATATTCAGCGATTGAAGATATCTCACTGTTAGAATGTCTGAACTGATGCAGGAGCTGGAGTTCCTCTAACGAGATTCTATAATGCATGAAACATGTCGGTTGGAGGAAAAATCTCTGCAGCAGGCAACTAATGATCTTGACGGCAGAGGTGTGATTTACCGCTTATTAGTGCCACGTGGTCCATCTGCTCTCCTAGAAATACAATTTTTGAGATTTGTTTGACTATTCATGTGTAAGAATGCTGGGAGAAACAAGAGGCTGCAGAGTAGATGTGACAGCTGTATAGTTCTGTACCTGTATGAGTCTGTGTGAACTACAGGCATCCTGTTCTAACTCTCCTTCTCACTGACAGGTTTATAGTGACCAGTACAGAGATCAGCAAGGACTTGTTGGTTATTTTCCCAGCAGCCTTGTCACAGAGATCAGTGTCTACAAGGATGAACTTCAAGAATTACCCACCACAGTAAGTGTGAAAGATACCCGAGACAAAAACAGCATTAAAGAACTTCTAACAAAAAAATTATATTTAGTCAAAATTGCAGTAAGTTTATTGATCTTTTAAAAGAAACCTGAACTTTATTATTAGAAGGCAAAGTGACACAGATAGTATACAGCAGGTACCAGAACCTGAGTGCATTTTGGCTCCCCG